TCTCTCTCGCACATACACACACACTTAATACACACCCACTTGCACTAGTCTGATTTATGAGGTACTGCTAACAGCTCTCCGCAGCATTGCAATGCCAACTCCCCGCTTTATAGATGGGTTTCGTGCGCATGTGTGTGTGTGTGTGTGTGTGTCGGTTTATGGCTGGACTCCAGGTGTTATGAGTGATATCAGAGTGTATGTGGTGGATGAGAAGAGAGTTTTATGAGGAGCTCTGTGGAGCAGTAAAATCCATCAGATCTCTCCATCACTGAAACAGAAGAGTGGAAAGAGAGGGAGAGCGGCAGTGTGTTATTAGGATTTCCCTCAATAAACAGTTCTAACAGAAAACCTGCCTTGACATTCCCCAGTGCCCTTTTCTTCTATATTGCTTTGGCCTAGTAACCCCTACAACTCCCCCCACACACACATCCCATAACATTGTACACTAGGTTTCATCTCTAATTCGTCACAAGGATAATATGGAATACCAGAGGATACAAATGTGCCCTTTTCATTCTCATACATCCCTTGTTTAATTTAAGATATACAGTGGAAGATAAACCCACAGTTTAATTTTCCAAATGGTTTTGGCTTATAAGAGAGAGCACTTTTCAGAAAGTGTTTTACCTCCGCCAAGACTTTATTAACAAAACAAAAAAACGCCCAAAACTGGTACTCTTGGGTTTCTTTCCCAAGCAGTATTGAGAAGAAAATCAATACTGCTCTCATAGTTGCCGAGATTGAATGAATAATTTACGCCTTTACTGTTCATATCTTGAACCTATTTAACAGCATATGCTTTTCTGGTGTAAAACAAGATACGACATAAGAGATGATGTATAAAGATAACTTGATACAATGTTGGAGATGGGACCCCATTCATCTCTATTGGATTTGGTCAGTGGCGCATTAAGCCAAAGATGTCTGACTTTCGAGAATAAAATGACCCAGATGTTCCACTGATCTTCTGCATTCTTGAAGCCCATAGCGCATATAGGACCTTATGATTTTTAAAGCATTACATTTAGTGTTCACACAGGGTAGTTGATTTAGCTCAAAATAAATGATCCCCTGGTTTAGAGACGTCTCTCCCTATGAAGTCAAGCCAATGTGAAAAGTCTACATTTAAGGCCCGTCCACTTTGAAATGGCCCAATAACATGCACAGGACTTTATATAAATCCTGTTATAACTAAACACTGCTCAAAGGGAATAAGTTGCCGTACGGAAGATGTATGGCTTGTGTTTCACTTGGAATACAGCCAAAAAAGGTTAGCTTTGCTCAAACTGTCACAACTATTTTACACTTTACTGTTGCTGTACACAAGATACTGTATAAGGTGTTCATTTGTTAACATGTGCTGTGTGTTAGCATATTTCCTTACATTTGGATTCAAGATTCAAAGGTTTATTGTCATAACTTATACACATATGGTGTAATTATGTAATGTATGAAAAACTTAGATTGCAGGTTCCTCAACAGTGCAATTACAAGTCAGAGCCAGGCTCTCCCTTTTTCCAGTCTTTTTGCTAAGCTAATTTAAGAAATGCTGGCTGTAGCGTCATATACTTTTCTAGAAGAGTTGCTGGAAAACAAATAAGGATATTTCCCAAAATGATAATATTTGTATTTATTAAAAGTCATCACAAAAGTTATAACATTTGTTTTATTAAAACACGCTTTTTCATCTTGAACTGATTGGACAGATCAACAGAAAATGTGAAATAATGAAAATAAAAGCACCTTGTTGGTGCAGTAATGCAATATAATTCAATAAAGATCTTCCCTACCTTTTCTCTGCATACACCACCTGCAATATTTAGCCCCTTCCTTACATCCTCTTCCTCTTCCTGTCAGATGATGAGTCAGACTCCGAGGCTGCTGAGTTTGACCTGGGCACCAAGATCAAGACGCCCAAGGACACCATGCTGGAGGAGCTCTCTTTGAACACAAACAAGGGCTCCAAGATGTTCAGGATGAGACAGCAAAGAGTCGAGAAGTTCATCGTGACCACCATGAACAAGGTAAGAGTGAATAAGAGAATGGGAGGTTGTGTTTGTGAACACTAGGTTGTGTGTATAGATCTTTACGGAGCAGAATAATGATTTTCCTTTTTTTGTCCTTCCAGCAGAACCTCGAGAACATGTTGATGTGCCCCCCTCCTGTCCCACCAAAGCCTGATGTAAAGAAGGAAGAAGGTGGGGTCAAAGATTATTATTCGATTTTTTCAGTGTTTCTTTCTGTTAAGATTTTGCATTAAATCTCCCTGCTTCTCCCCTCCTGCGTGTTTTCAGTCGTAAAAGAGATATTGGATGAGAAAGCAGAGAAGGAGAAGAGAAGGAAGCAGTATGTACCCATCTACGTATCGCCATGGGAACGGGCAATGAGGGGCAACGAGGAGCTGAGAGCCACCATGAGGTCTTGCATGCCAGGACCCATCCAAGAGCACCTTGACCTGCCAATGTACAAGAGCTTCAACAGGTAAACACAAACAAAAATCACATTTCCTTGTATGCAACAAAAAGTAAAATGATGATACCATTGAATTTAACTGACTTGATTTAATTTGTCCATAGTTGTTTTGCGTTAGCCTATAAGTCAAAAAAAATTGGCTATGTAAAATGTGTCAGTCAGCCTGGTCTCCTACAAATACTTTCCCACACAACAAAACTGAATTGTAAATTACATTTCAAAGGAAACATATTTTCTCCTGTATTAGGCTTGTTTTTGGTGTACCACAAATACGTTTCCTGTCAATGTAAAAAAATCACAGACGTACCCAACAAACATTATTTTGGTTTCAAACCATCCTTTACTTAAGATCAATCTTGGAACCTTAGGGATATATTTGTATGTTTTACAAACTGTTTTTAAACTAATAAAAAGCTAAATTAATACCATTACGGCAATGCTTTCCTGCCTCTTGTAATGTTTTGAGTAATTTCACTTCAGTAACTTTGTGTTTAAACACGCAACAGAGAAGATACATTTTCTTTGAATTGAAATTGAAATTACATTGTTCTCATGACACATAGTTGGTTAAGTAGATCATCCCTGCAACCAGCAAACAATGTATAACATTGAAACTTCACGTAATTTGTAATCAAATTACGTTACAAGTCATATGTTCTGTTCTTTCCTGGTCTTCCCTTCTTGCTCCCTAACTTCCTGTATCTCCTTGTTCTCTTTCCCAAGGACCGCGCTGCCATTTGGCGGCGTAGACAAGGTGTCCAAGATGTTGTCCTTCGAACTCCCACAGTTCAATAATGGCACAGACGAGATGGAGCTTTTGCCCGGTCAGCAGGGGGACATGCGCACACGGCCCTCATTCAACCGCACGCCCATTGGATGGATCTGCAGTGAGGACAACTCAAACCTCCACATGGACATCATCCCCTTCGATGAGACAGACGACCTGTGAACACGCATGCACACACAAGCAATACATGCACTGGAACTCATACACACACATGAAGAAAACACCCTCACATGAGTGAATAAATGAGAACATTAGGCACAGTTTATAATTGACACCACATGACTGACGACATGATGATTGGTAGAACTGCTGGAGAAAAAAAAAACTTAAAAAACGACTTGATGGAAAATGACTTAGAATCTCCCATATGTGTGCTTTCTAATCCCATCATCTCCAACCATGATTGAGTCTTACCCATATCTAGCATGCTGTGAACCGATGTAAGACCTGTGTGAATAGGTACAGATGAGCACTCTGCACTCTTAAAACAATGTATTTATGCAATAAAGTCCCCTTTACAAAAGGTCTGTCTGCTTCTCATTTCAACACTGTGCAAGTCCTGGACTTGTTGAAGTGTTACTCAAAAGTCCTGATTATTAAAAAAAAACTAAAAACTTTACAACATCATTTTGGAAAATAAATCTGATCTGAATTCTTTGTTTTACTCATCTTCAAAGGTCTAAAATAAATGAATAAAGTAGCGGCTTAGGTCCCAAAGTAAGTAAGCAACGAGCCAAAAGGGAAAATCTTAAAAGCCTTTCTTTATGTGGGTTTTTTAACCTATATTAATACCATATTAAGCAAACAGTTAAAAAACTATATGAAACAAAGTTCCCAAAGGAGAGGTGTAACTTATCAGATCATATTTAGAACATTATGTAAACACTAAACCACCTTGCTCTAAAGAAAATAAACAAAATGTCTAAAATAGAAATCAAAATTCTCATCTAACTTTTACCAAGAAAACAAATAAGGGGATTTCCCCAAAAGGTTTCTATTTCTGTAAATGCCTATAAGATGACCTCTCACCTTCTCTGTGAAAAGCAGTGTGACAGTAAACTTGTGCTGGCAGATCTCCAATGAAAGGAAGTAAACAGGTGTTCTCCATGTTTATGACAGCAGGTTACATCTGACTGTGGAGGTGTGTGAGAGAACCAAACAAATGGGGTTAATCCTGTAACACTGAATGTGGACCCCACCTGTGGCCCCTCTCCAAAAGAAAATGTCATGATGACACCATTGGTGATATTTTCGCAGCAAAGACTGTAATGTAACTTGATGTTGAGATAACAATAACCAGATTTTAAAATTGTATTTAATGAAAATGTAACCAAGTCACTGACACAAATATTACTAAAACAAACACCACTTAAGGTATTTTATGTTGTTGTTGTTGTTGTTGTTGTTGTTGTATAGGGAATGAGTTGATACTAAAATTGTTGAAAACGTGATGACTCTTTTTGTTTCTTTGTCCCCCCTCAATAAAATAACTCCTCCCACCCAGGTATAATTAGTCTAGAACTACCATTGATTGATTGTCCCTATAAAAAATAAATAAATAAAATCAAATACGGGATGACATCACCATCCTATTGCTCTTTTCGCCTCTCGCCCAGGAGACGGCGGCATCGGGCTGAGTGAGCCAACGGGACTCTGGTAAAACTGCTACGTCACACCACACACACTCCTATGAAGATGGCACGGTATCGCGAGAGCGGCGTGCCGCGACCGCAGCGATGGATGGCGCTGGTGGGGGCTGCACGCGCCCACGGCTCGCCCTCTCTCGCGTTAAATCACACGGTAGGACAGGGGAGCGGACGGAGACTGGCAGCGACAGCACACGGGGTGAGTAAAAAGAAAACACTCGCATTGAATGGACTACATCACTGATAGAGGACAGGGGGACGCGCGTGTGACCGGACACCATCGGTAGGTGTGTGAGTGAGGTTCTGGGGGGGTGTCAGCCAGTTGTTATCCTCAACAGATGTGACAGTCTCACAGTGTGGCTGTCACCTTCTTCTCCGGTGTGATTCCTCCCATCAGCAGCATCACTTGCAGAACTTGCAGCGTTGTCTCCCTGAGGTTTTCCTCCACCTTTCTATTGTCACTTGTAGGTTTTTATTGTGTCAGGTGGTCTCGGGTCGGTAATTCTCCTCTACGCAGCAACTCCCCCTCGTGCTGCACGCCGCTTGCCACTTTAACGGACACACGCAGCCCTTCCCCTTTAACTTCACCCTGTCGCCACAGTCCCGGTTCGTTTTCCACACACTGACATGTGTTAATGTTACTCTCCCGTACAACCGTTAACATGCCGCGCCACTGTGCGCGTGGCTGCTGCCCTGTACTTGGTGAACTGTGGACTTGTTGATGGATGGCCGCGAGAGAGACCGAGGCGGATTCACGCGCCACTGTCATCGCTCCCGGAGGCCGCTATTGATTTATCGTTGCGGTTTCGATCCGCCTGATTGATGACTTTGGCCCCTCACCGGGCCCGCATCACCGGCACTCCATTGTGGCGTCACATTAGCGATGGTGATAGAGCACTCACGCACGTGAATACTTATCAAAAAAGAGGGAACTTAGGGCACCCCATCATTGGGGAGCATCTGCTTTTTTGTTTTGGATACTTGTGAGGATATTGGATTGACTTTCAGTGATTTAGTTAAAGGCTTACCCTATCCTTTACTACTATACTTAAACCAAACAACCCTTAAGTCATAACCCTAAAATCCTAATATTTCAGAGACTACAGGGCTGTCCTTGAGTCAACTATAATTTATACAATTTGGTTGCTCCTAAACCAAGTTTCTCCAATAAATACTCACCCTAAAGCACCACTATAAATATTGTTGATTCGGAGATGTGCACATATTGGAAGTCAGAATAAAGAATGCCCCAAAAAATGAATAATTGTAGTCGACTAAAGCAACCAGTTAGCTAGACAACTCATTGACCCAGAGGGGGAAGCCCTAGTTGCCATAGTGAAGCATTTTATCTTCACATGGGAGAAAAAGGAGGCTGGAAAGGTCTATTTGGCCACAGCATGAAAACACACACAGCATCCCCCTCTAAACTCAGCTGAAATGTCGCCTTGGCATTTCAGGTGGACTTATCATCAATTTCAGTTTTTGGAGATGAAGTTTTCATTATAGTTTCCATTATATCACGTGTGCATAATGTGTGTGTGTGTGTGTGTGTGCTTTTCTGCTGCCTCCAAATGTTGCAATACCCCACTCACCCTTTTCTATCTGAAAACCACTGGCTCATGGCCCATATTTGCACTATATTTAACTAGACATGCCTTTTATATATTCTTCTGTTTCCATATTGTATAAGCTGTCATTGTAGCTTACAGTATTATTGTCTTACATCTTGTATAACTAGGGATGTCCTGAGGGAACCCCACTTTACCTTTTATCTATACAATTGTTTGTCCTGAGGTAACCACAGTGCCAGTAAAGCGTGACTTCCGTTTGACAGCAATTCTCCTAGGGGGGGTTTCCACTGGCATTATTGAAATACTCAAACCAATCATATGTGATGATGTATGTCGCTCTGGAGGACAGCTTGACACTTGATAGGAACGTCCTCAGAGCTGAGGAGGAAGATCTGTGCTCGGGATTTGACTTCCTGTCTATTTTTAGGCTGTTTATTCATCAGTTTTCTGACTATGTGATTGCTTATCCTTTAAGATTACTTCTTGTGTATCTGTCGGAAACAACATCTCCAAATGTGTTGATCTGTGAGAAACAATCAATCTCACGGTCTCATTGACTTATTGCACATGTTTGCAGACATCATGCTGTGAATCAATTGTGTCTAGTACATCTATTTAATTCACTTAATTGGTTTCAATCCCCAGAGTATTTTTTTTCTAGACGTGATCGTGTGAATTCATCTATTGTTGACATTTCATTGGGCCCACATGAATGGCATTATAAGAGGTTTGAGGAACAAGGAAGAGCAGATGAAGTCGTGGTAGAGGGGCACGCTCGTATGTCTCCTTTGACCTTTACCATGCACTGGAGAGTTCTTCCTCTTTTTCTCACAGCCGGTCCTCTTGTGGTTGGTTATTCAATCTAATGTCCCACTTATTCCTTTCCTCCCCTTCTACCACCCACCTGTTCTCTTCTCTCCCGTTCCTTTCCTCTTATTTCCCTTTCCAACTTCCCTAATTTCTCTTCTTCTCCATTCTTTTATCTCCCTACTTCCCCTTCCGACCTCTCCTTTCCTGTTTCTCCCTTTCTTTCATTTGTTGTCCTCTCCTTGCCTTTCAATGTCTCTCCTCCTTAAACTGTAAAACCCCCACATGAGTCTCAACATGTGTCGTAAATAAGGATGGTTACGCAACAGCCTAAATATTAAGCAAATATTCACCCCTCTTCATATTTGCTACTAATAGGATTGGGTGTGCACGTGTGCCACGGTGATAATGGGTTGCATCTAGGTTAAAGCGTGTGTGTGTCGTGCACGTGCATGAGTTAAACGCAGGTTTTCACATTTATACTTTAATGCTACAGAGCGGGGAAATGACCTTGACGCTTGCAAAAAAAAAGGATCTGTGCCTCGCTAATATGCTCCCACATGCAGCTGCACGTGTGCTTACTGTATGCACACACACACACACACACACACACACACACACACACACACACACACACACACACACACACACACACACACACACACACACACACACACACACACACACACACACACACACAATATCTTTAGATTTAAAGTGGGAAGAGAAAGAGGGGAGGACGAACTCTGGGCTCTCCCTATTGTCAACTATGGCTATTTGAAGTTACACATAACCCAGTTACAGGGAAGTGTGTGTGTGTGTGTGTGTGTGTGTGTGTGTGTGTGTGTGTGTGTGTGTGTGTGTGTGTGTGTGTGTGTGTGTGTGTGTGTTGTGTGTGTGTGTGTGTGTGTGTGTGTGTGTGTGTGTGTGTGTGTGTGTGTGTGTGTGTGTGTGGGTGGTGTGTGTGTGTGTGTGTGTGTGTGTGTGTGTGTGTGTGGTGTGTGTGTGTGTGTGTGTGTGTGTGTGTGTGTGTGTGTGTGTGTGTGTGTGTGTGTGTGTGTGTGTGTGTGTGTGTGTGTGTGTGTGTGTGTGTGTGTGTGTGTGTGTGTGTGTGTGTGTGTGTGTGTGTGATGAAAGACAGATGAATGGAGAAAGAAGTATAGAGAGTGAATGAGAATTGGAAAATAGAGGTCAGTTAAAGAAAGTGAGAGACAAAAGTGAATGGGAGGGTGAGTAAGAAAGTGCAGCCAAAGGGGAAGGAAACAGAGAGCACATGTTTGGTGAAAAAAAAATCCAAACCTTTGTCTTTTACGGGGATGTATAAATAAACTTCTCGCCTTTTCTATTTGCTCAAGTGGGAGGGAGAAGGTGTGAGAGACATGCGATTGTCCTCGGGGAGAATATCAGCTCTGTGTTGAGCCTGCATGACACCGATGTCTCTGTCACTAACGCCACAAGGAGCAGGACACTCACATTATAACACAGCGTCATTCACAGCATTTTATTTACATCTGCCATTTTTTTAAATGTCATAATCCCTACTCTCAGCCAAAAAGAATACATACTGTATAGGGTTGTAAAATGCAGAACATATTAGACCAAGTTTTAGTCTTAGTTTTAATTTTTTTATTATTGTATTGCTGTAGACCAGGGGTGTCCAAACCTTTTTCACAGAGGGCCACATACAGTAAAATATACGAAGGGCTGGGCCGCTCACCAGAGGTTTATTGCCTCATAAGTTATAAGTTAGGAAAATCAATGAAATGTAGGTAAATGATGGTTGATATTGATACAAAGAAACACACAGCTCTCTGTAGGGTTTCAGTTATTGTGTTGGCAGCTCATTCCTTAAAACAGGAGGCTCAGATTGCTTATAATAAGGGGAAATATGAAGGGTAGATTTCAAGCTTGTTATACAAATTAGTTATTGGGCTTCTTTCTCATCAACTTAGATTTGTTAGAAATAGTTTTAAACTGAAAAGTGTGCCTATTAACACATGAATACTACTGAGTAATATATGTTTACATATATATTTATGAAGTACAAGCACAAGTTTAATTTGTGGGCCATATTCCATTATACTTTTACTGTCTGCTGAGGGCCGATTAAAAATGACTCGCGGGCCGGGCCGCATTTGGCCCCCGGGCCATAGTTTGGACACCCCTGCTGTAGACTACAGGGTCTGAAATGGGAACAACGGAGTCTGTGACCTTTCTTGGAGGTAATACTGTAGATGTGGGACGAAAGTAAAAGAACACATACTTTTCTGTACTTTTATTCTGGTTTGTCTTTCATACTGTAGCTCTGTATTTTGCTCTCATTCTAAAGGGGACATATCATTCAAAACTTTTTCTGAAGTACCTTTAAACCCACAAATGGGAATAAGGTCAGAAAACATTTTTTGCATTCTTGACCTCTTGACATTAGAAACTATTAGGCAAAGCAATTTGGAGTCTTGAATTTCAACATCTACAATCCATGACAAACTCCACGAAGGCTTCAGAACAGCTACTTGGTGTCAGCTTCTTGCAAATATACAATTTTAGACAACAAGGGGTGCTTCCAATTGTGCTAACAACAGTTTGGAAAAGATCCTTCCCTGTCACTCATTTTGCAGGGAAAGATCCTTCCCTGCAAAATGAGATTTTTAAAGATGTGGTTCCCCAGTTTGTTGTGGAACAATTGTTCCAGCCTGCACAGACCCAGAATTTGACCCCATCAAACACCTCTGGGATGAGCTGAAATGAGATGTGAGCCGGCCTTATTGCCCACCGCCAGTGCTAGACCTCAGTAATTCTCTTGTGGCAGAAAGTCCCCGCA